GTTGGGTGAGGGAAACACCCTGACCATTACCCCACATCCAAAACATGTTGAAAGGCTTATGGAGCTTATGGATCTGGAACCTCACATGTGCAACAAGAAGTGCCCTCTGATGCCAGGATATACCGAAATCGATGTGAGTTCAGCTTTGGACGTGCAGAAAACTGCAGTATTTCGTACATGCATAGGCGTTCTGCTTTATATGTCAGCTGACTTAATCGAAGCCCAGAACAGTATCCGTTTCCTTTCGCAAAGAATGAGCAGTCCGAGCATGCGAGATTTTCGAATGTTGCGACATTTGGTGCAGTATCTAGGAGCGACTACAAACCAGGGATTGCTCATGACGCCTGAGAAAGGTGGTCTGTTAGGCCACGAGTATGATCGCGAGTGGGTTCTGGAAGCCTTCTCTGACAGTGATTGGGCCTCCCAGAAGGGAGATCGGAAAAGTGTGAGCTCTGGAGTTGTGGCTTTGCAAGGAAACGTTATTTATACGTCGTGCAGGTCCCAAAGAACGATTGCACTTTCGAGTGCAGAAGCCGAGCTATATGCGAGTGCAGGCGTTTTAGCAGACTGCATGTTGCTGCAAGTTGTCCTGTGCACCATGTTGGAGATTGAGGTTGAAGCATTGCCGATTGAGTTGCATATGGATAGCTCTGCAGGCCGACAAGTGTGGATGAGATCTGGTGTTGGTAGAATCCGTCACCTTTCATGTCGTGTATTGTGGGTACAACAACATGTGATGAATGGGCGAGTTAAAGTTTCGCATTTGAGAGGTGAGCTCAATCCTGCTGATGTGTCCACAAAGCTGTTAACAAGAAGTCGTATGCGATTCCTGATGTACCTCATGAAGGTCGTTGATGCGTACACACATGAGAGAATTGGAGAGACAGAGTACAACCTGTATCTAGAAAAGCGAACAATGCAGATTGCAATTCAGCAAGTGAAGCGCCTTGAGCCTGGGAAGATGAATGGCAGAGCAAAGCAGGCCATTCGTGGCTTGGTGATTGCTTCGCTCACTTCGAGTGGGATGGCAAGCGAGTTGAGCGAGGAAATGGTGTGTATCTCGATGACTTCAACAACAGGTACCGGGCGATTTGTCATGACAGTGTTGGTGGTGATGGTTTGCATGGGCTTAGGTGCGTTGTGGCTGAGATTCACAAGGGTGAGCGAGCCAGTGCAGACAAATGGGCGACCAGCAGCAAACATGGGAGATGATGCTGAAACCCAGACAGACGAGCGACATTTTCTCTACAAGTACCACACCGAGAACATCATGAGAGAGAGAGCAAGCGAGATTGAGAGACTTCGAGAACTTTCGAATCAGCTTGGAGCCGAATGTAGAGGGCTACGAGAGTGGAACACTCGGCTTCAGGAGTCAGAGACACAGTTGCTTGCACAAGTGCAAGAACTTCAGCAAGTGCAAAATCCGACACGGGGCGAGATCGTAATGACAGGCCAGGGTCATGTGTATCACACAAGTCGTCACTGTGAGCATGTGAGCCGAAGAAGAGCTACAACGTTCCGGAGGTGCAGAGACTGCGCTCATCGTGATGGCGATTGATTGGCAATGAAGTTGGTATGAGAGGCTGTGGAAAGTCTACACAAATTCGATACAGACTGTGAACAGTCTGTGGTGAGCCAGCTGTGGTCCGTACAATGATGATGGTCCATGGATTGCTTGCGACCTTGAATGGAACATGTGCACTACGATCTACTGGTGCACATATTGGCCTCTTGCGATGCACAAAGCTTTACGTGCATCAAGGCTGTGAGACAAGGGACAAGATGTGAGTTTCACAATGGGAGCTCTTACGATGCACACGGCCTTACGTGCATCAAGCTCCATTGAGTGGCAGATGTAAATTAGTTTCTTCAGATTGTGCAGTGCATGTTTTTGACAAGTTTCTTTTCGTTTACCGCTTTAAAACCTACTGTTCCTTTGGGACAACATTTTCGACTATCAGCCAGCAGTGCTGAAAGTTGGGAGTTTGTAGGTGAGTGAGTTGATGGCAGAGCCATAACTCAAGGCGGGGTGACAAACCTTTCCGCTATTGTAAGCCATGTGTCTTGAACATAGTCAAACACGTTTTGTTAGTGTACAGTTGTTTCAACCGAGTTTTGACTGCAGGCGCTTTGTGGCTTTACAAAAGTTTTCAGAAACTCTGAAGGAGTTCTGAAGGAGCTACTGCTTGGAACTCTCGGGGGAGTCGGGGCGCTAAAGGAAGTGAAACCTGGAGCTCTCGGGTGCCTAAAGGAGGTGAAACCTCGAGCTCTCGGGGGCGGTGGAGCCTGGAGTTTCGGGAGCTTTCGGGAGGGGAAGGCTAAAGGAAGTGAAACCTGGAGCTCTCGGGGGTGCCTAAAGAAGGTGAACTTGGGGGGCCTAAAGGAGGTGAAACCTGGAGCTCTCGGGGGGCCTAAAGGAGGTGAAGCCTGGAGATCTTGGGGGGGCCTAAAGGAGGTGAAACCTGGAGCTGTTAGGGAGGGTAAAGGAGGTGAAACCTGGAGCTCTTGGGGGGGCTTAAAGGAGGTGAAACCTGGAGCTCTCGGGGGGGCCTAAAGGAGGTGAAACCTGGAGCTCTCGGGTGGGCCTAAAGGAGGTGAAACCTGGAGTTTTGGGGGGGCCTAAAGGAGGTGAAACCTGGAGCTCTTGGGGGGGCCTAAAGGAGGTGAAACCTTGAGCTCCTGGGAGGCCTGAAGGAGGTGAAACCTGGAGCTCCTGGAAAGGCCTAAAGGAGGTGAAATCTAGAGCTCTTCCGGCGGGCCTAAAGGAGGTGAAACCTGGAGCTCTTGGGGGGCCTAAAGGAGGTGAAACCTGGAGGTCTGGGGGGGCCTAAAGGAGGTGAAACCTGGAGCTCTCGGGGGCCTAAAGGAGGTGAAACCTGGAGGTCTGGGGGGGCCTAAAGGAGGTGAAACCTGGAGCTCTCGGGGGCGCCTAAAGGAGGTGAAACCTGGATTCTCTTGGGCCCTAAAGGAGGTGAAACCTGGAGCTTTCGGGGGCCCTAAAGGAGGTGAAACCTGGAGCTCTCGGGGGGGCCTAAAGGAGGTGAAACCTGGAGCTCTTGGGGGGGCCTAAAGGAGGTGAAGCCTGGAGCTCTCGGGGGGCCTAAAGGAGTTGGGGGGCCTAAAGGAGGTGAAACCTGAAGCTCTCGGGAGGGCCTAAAGGAGGTGAAACCTGGAGCTTTCGGGGGGCCTAAAGGAGAAGGAGGTGGGGGCCTAAAGGATGTGAAACCTGGAGCTCTTGGGGGGGCCTAAAGGAGGTGAAACCTGGAGCTCTCGGGGGCGCCTAAAGGAGGTGAAACCTGGAGCTCTTGGGGCGCCTAAAGGAGGTGAAACCTGGAGCTCTTGGGGCGCCTAAAGGAGGTGAAACCTGGAGCTCTTGGGGGTGCCTAAAGGAGGTGAAACCTGGAGGCCTTGGGGGTGGGTAAAGGAGGTGAAACCTGGAGGTTTTGGGGTGCCTAAAGGAGGTGAAACCTGGAGCTCTTGGGGGGGCCTAAAGGAGGTGAAACCTGGAGCTCTTGGGGGGGCCTAAAGGAGGTGAAACCTGGAGCTCTCGGGGGGGCCTAAAGGAGGTGAAACCTGGAGCTCTCGGGGTGCCTTAAAGGAGGTGAAACCTGGAGCTCTCGGGGTGCCTTAAAGGAGGTGAAACCTGGAGCTCTCGGGTGGCCTAAAGGAGGTGAAACCTGGAGCTCTTGGGGGGGCCTGAAGGAGGTGAAGCCTGGAGCTCTCGGGGGGCCTAAAGGAAGTGAAACCTGGAGCTCTGGGGGGGGCCTAAAGGAGGTGAAACCTGGAGCTCTCGGGGGGCCTAAAGGAGGTGAAACCTGGAGCTCTCGGGGACGTGTAAAGGAGGTGAAACCTGGAGCTCTCGGGGTGCCTAAAGGAGGTGAAACCTGGAGCTCTTGGGGGGGCCTAAAGGAGGTGAAACCTGGAGCTTTCGAGGGGCCTAAAGGAGGTGAAACCTGGAGCTCTCGGGGGCGCCTAAAGGAGGTGAAACCTGGAGCTCTCGGGGGGCCTAAAGGAGGTGAAACCTGGAGCTCTTGGGGGGGCCTAAAGGAGGTGAAACCTGGAGCTCTCGGGGGGCCTAAAGGAGGTGAAACCTGGAGCTCTCGGGGGCGCCTAAAGGAGGTGAAACCTGGCGCTCTCGGGGGCGCCTAAAGGAGGTGAAACCTGGAGCTCTTGGGGGGGCCTAAAGGAGGTGAAACCTGTAGCTCTTGGGGGGGCCTAAAGGAGGTAAAACCTGGAGCTCTCGGGGGCGCCTAAAGGAGGTGAAACCTGGAGCTCTCGGGGGGCCTAAAGGAGGTGAAACCTGGAGCTCTCGGGGGCGCCTAAAGGAGGTGAAACCTGGAGCTCTTGGGGTGCCTAAAGGAGGTGAAACCTGGAGCTCTTGGGGGGGCCTAAAGGAGGTGAAACCTGGAGCTTTCGAGGGGCCTAAAGGAGGTGAAACCTGGAGCTCTCGGGGGCGCCTAAAGGAGGTGAAACCTGGAGCTCTTGGGGGGGCCTAAAGGAGGTGAAACCTGGAGCTCTCGGGGGGGCTTAAAGGAGGTGAAACCTGGAGCTCTCGGGGTGCCTAAAAGGAGGTGAAACCTGGAGCTCTCGGGCGGCCTAAAGGAGGTGAAACCTGGCACCTGGACTCTTGGGGGGGGCCTAGACGAGGTGAAACCTGGAGCTCTTGGGGCCTAAAGGAGGTGAAACCTGGAGCTCTTGGGGGGGCTTTCACCTCTGTCTTGGTGATCCTAATGGAGGCGAAGCTTGATCTCTCGGGACCCTAAAGGAAGTGAAACCTGGAGCTCTCCTTCGGGAACCCTGAATAAAAGGTGAGACCAGAGCTCTGGAGGGGCCCTGAAGGAGGTGAAGCCTGGAGCTCTCTTTCGGGAACCCTGAAAACGTGAAACCAGGAGCTCTCGGGGGTCTCTGAAGGAGGTGAAGGCTTCTTATGGGATACCTTTCGACCCTGTTTTTGTGTAGGGAAGATCTGTGCCAGCTTGCCTTTTTTCCTCGGATGTTGTCTAGTCGACATATTCATACATACTAAAGGCATTCACCAACCTCTGCAATACCCTTCGTTGTTGACGTTGATCCATAGTAGCTAGGCACATGTCCAGGATCGCGTCCATCTGAGGGTCATCCTCTTTCTCCAGCTTGCTGAGCATTCGCTGGATTTGCTCGGTGCTGTCAAAGATGACGTTTAGGATGTCTTCGATGGAAACGTCTTGCTCAACATGGACTTCGTACAAGAGCTCAAACACGGCGTCGACATTCAGTGCCAGCATGCATGTTCCGCTGTCGCAGAGCCATTGCTGCTCCATCTTATTGACCTGGCCGTTTTCAAAGAATAGTCCAGGAATCTTCACAGCCTATCATCCCCGTATATTCTCTAAAAGCCACAGAGCTTTGGGAAACACTAACTTATGTGCTTACGAGTGGATTGATTTACAGAAACTGTCATGGTTTGCTAAAAAATCATTGTTTTGAGCAACTCAACCTTTGTAGACAGCCATCTGCATGAGCAAAGAAGGGCAGCACGTTCAGTATGCAGCTGCCGAAGCTGATCATGCACTTGGTCACGTTCACCGTTATCCAAATGAAATGGATCGTCGCTTTCCCAGTCATCCTTTGCAAATAGCATGGGAACCACTCTGCCAAAGCGCTCCAGCATCAGTGGTTCCCTTGCGGTTGACTGCAGCGCAACGCCAAGGGCGTCCAGTGCACGTGACATTTTCCGGTGCTCCATAAAGTGGTTGGTGCAAGGCTGCGGCATATTTAACTCTGTACTTCTTAATGTACTGTTCGGTTCAGGCCATGTTGTAGTGTCATGACTACATGACTGATACTGCAACGGAAAATGCTGCTGGAACACAGAGTGTTGCGTGGAGCTTGATCTTCGGGGAGCCTAAAGGAGGTGAAACCTGCAGCTCTCGGGGGGCCTAAAGGAGGTGTGGAGCTCTCGGGGGGGCCTAAACCAGGAGCTTTCAGGGACCTAAAAAGGAGGTGGGAGCTCTCTCGGGTGAAACTTGGAGCTCTCGAAGGGGCCTAAAGGAGGTTTTGGGGGGCTAAGGGGGTGAAACCTGGAGCTTTTTGGGGGGGCCTAAAGGGGGTGATTTCGGGGGGGCCTTAAGGAGGTGAAACCTGGACCTCTCGGCAGGGGCCTAAAGGAGGTGAAGCCCGTAGCTCCGGGTGGGGGGGGGGGGGCCTAAAAAAGGTGAGACCTGGCTGCTTGATTCGATTCGCCGAAGCTGTATCTTGACCGTGGGTTTCTACGATAGAAGCTGCATAATTACCAGAAATGGCATTTGCGAAGATGTCAGCTAGTAGTGGCTGTTATTTTCTGACATCAACACGCAGCACTGCAACCATTTTTTCTGATGATCACTATTTCAAGTGATGATACGCCGCACAACATGCGCTAAAATCTGCTCGCTCTTCTCCCCAAAACAGAATGTGCCCATCCTGTTTCGCCAGCAATGACACCAGTTTATACACATTCAGCATTTGACCAACACATCCATCCTGGTTGGGATTGCTGGAGGCTTGAATGCAGCTCGTCCAAGGCACCGAACCAGTCCATGTGAGAGGTACTCGCAGCAAAGCTTGTACTTGCGCCAAACCTTTCGAACGTAGTGACCCTTTACTATGCCGAGGGTAGTACTGGCGTGGTCTACCAAAGACAAACTCCAGTAGAGCAGGAAGAGCCAAGACTGCTTCGCCGCTTCCTGCTTGAACAGGATGGACGCCATGCCCAGCAAATAAAATCAACACGAAGCTGTGTCGAAATTGCTTGCATAAGCTTTGGAACACACAAGCTTTCTCGCAGGCAGCTGCTCCAGCTTTTTGCTTGCTATAGGTTCCATCTGACAGCTCCATGTGCGGACTTCCCCATGCACACAGGGTGATTTGGTGATGAGCCAACCCAAGGTTCCGATGAACCCACGTCGATGCAAGGTATCCATCAACACCCTCGGCGATCTTGGCTCCAAACGTTTGCATGAATTCCAAATTCCCTGCCAAAGCAGCATGTGCCGGATCTGCCAGATCACTGCACTCAGCTGCTGGTAGGACTATGTCCAAACAAACGTGATCCTCCACTCGTGGCCAGCGGTACTCTGTCACAATCCACTTCTGCAATCCCCTTTTCGCACGCTGCCGCCACTTGCACATAAGCTTGAAGAGCAAAAGAACAATGGGTGCCAAAGATACCAAAGGTATGCGCCGCATGGCGGAAGAACGCATGGCGCGTGTAGCAATATGCCACATTGCTGCAAAAGAACTACGAAGAAGCACATGCCAAAGTGGAAATTGCTGTATCAAGCAAGCAGTGAATATTGCTCACAAAGCACTATTGGATTTGACGCTCACAGCCCGAAACCAGCTGAAGCCTGGAGCGTGGCACCGCAAAACACATGCACTGGGATTCTGTCATGTGCTGCTAAGAGCGACATACGCTAAATTAGCCGAAACCCTGCTGGAAGCCTTGGAGCAAGTGAATCGCTGTGGGTGAGCCCTCCCTAAAGGAAGGGAAGCCTGGAGCTCTCGAGGGTCTAAAGCTTTTGGGGGCCCTAAAGGAGGAGAAGCCTACAGCCTTCGGGTGCCCTAAAAGAAGGTGAAGCCTGGAGCTTTCGGGGGTCTCAGCTCTAAAGGAAGTGAAACTGGAGCTCTCGGAAACTCTGAAGGAGTTCTGAAGGAGCTACTGCTTGGAACTCTCGGGGGAGTCGGGGCGCGAAAGGAAGTGAAACCTGGAGCTCTCGGGTGCCTAAAGGAGGTGAAACCTCGAGCTCTCGGGGGCGGTGGAGCCTGGAGTTTCGGGAGCTTTCGGGATGGGAAGGCTAAAGGAAGTGAAACTTGGAGCTCGGGGGTGCCTAAAGAAGGTGAACTTGGGGCCTAAAGGAGGTGACACCTGGAGCTCTTGGGGGGGCCGAAAGGAGGTGAAGCCTGGGGTGGCCTAAAGGAAGTGAAACCTGGAGCTCTCGGGGGGCCTAAAGGAGGTGAAACCTGGAGCTCTTGGGGGGGCCTAAAGGAGGTGAAACCTGGAGCTCTGGGAGGAGCCTAAAGGAGGTGAAACCTGGAGCTCTAACCTGGAGCTCTCGGGGGGCCTAAAGGAGGTGAAACCTGGAGCTCTCAGAGGGGCCTAAAAACCTGAACTCTCGGGGGGCCTAAAGGAGGTGAAACCTGGAGCTCTTGGGGGGGCTTAAAGGAGGTGAAACCTGGAGCTCTTGGGGGGGCCTAAAGGAGGTGAAACCTGAGCTCTCGGGGGGGGGCCTAAAGGAGGTGAAACCTGGAGTTTTGGGGGGCCTAAAGGAGGTGAAGCCTGGAGCTCTTTGGGGGGGCTAAAGGAGGTGAAACCTTGAGCTCCTGGGGGGCCTAAAGGAGGTGAAACCTGGAGCTCCTGGGGGGGCCTAAAGGAGGTGAAACCTGGAGCTGTAGCTCTCCGGCGGGCCTAAAAAAGGTGAAACCTGGAGGTCTCCGGCGGGCCTAAAAAAGGTGAAACCTTGGAGGTCTGGAGGGGTCTAAAGGAGGTGAAACCTGGAGGTCTGGGGGGGCCTAAAGGAGGTGAAACCTGGAGCTCTCGGGGGCCTAAAGGAGGTGAAACCTGGAGCTCTCGGCGGGCTAAAGGAGGTGAAAGCTGGAGCTCTTGGGGGGCCTAAAGGAGGTGAAACCTGGAGCTCTTGGGGGGCCCCAAAGGAGGTGAAACCTGGAGCTCTCGGGAGGCCGAAAGGAAGTGAAACCTGGAGCTCTGGGGGGGGGGCCGAAAGGAGGTGAAACCTGCAGCTCCCGGGCCTAAAGGAGGTGAAACCTGGAGCTCTCGGAGGGCCTAAAGAAGGTGAAAAAAGGAGGTGACACCTGGAGCTCTTGGGGGGCCTAGACGAGGTGAAACCTGAAGCCTAAAGGAGGTGAAACTTGGAGCTCTTGGGGGGGGCCTAAAGGAGGTGAAACCTCGAGCTCTCGGGGCTTAAAGGAAGTGAAACCTGGAGCTCTTGATGGGCCTAAAGGAGGTGAAACCTGGAGCTCTTGGGGGGGCCTAAAGGAGGTGAAACCTGGAGCTCTTGGGCGGGCCTAAAGGAGGTGAAACCTGGAGCTCTTGGGGGAGCCTAAAGGAGGTGAAACCTGGAGCTCTCGGGGGGGCCGAAAGGAGGTGAAACCTGGAGCTCTCGGGGGGGTTTTAAGGAGGTGAAGCCTGGAGCTCTCGGGGGGCCTAAAGGAAGTGAAACCTGGAGCTCTTGGGGGGCCTAAAGGAGGTGAAACCTGGAGCTCTTGGGCCTAAAGGAGGTGAAACCTGGAGCTCTTGGGGGGGCCTAAAGGGGGTGAAACCTGGAGCTCTTGGGGGGGCCTAAAGGAGGTGAAACCTGGAGCTCTTGGGGGGGCCTAAAGGAGGTGAAACCTGGAGCTCTTGGGGGTCTAAAGGAGGTGAAACCTGCAGCTCTTGGCGGGGCCTAAAGGAGGTGAAACCTGGAGCTCTCGGGGGGCCTAAAGGAGGTGAAACCTGGAGCCCAAAGGAAGGGAAACCTGGAGCTCTCGCAGAACCTAAAGGAGGTGAAACCTGGAGCTTTCGGGGGGGCTTAAAGGAGGTGAAAGCTGGGGCCTAAAGAAGGTGAAACCTGGAGGTCTCGGGGGGGGCTAAAGGAGGTGAAACCTGGGCTTAAAGGAGGTGGAACCTGGAGGTCTCGGGGGGCCTACAGGAGGTGAAACCTGGAGCTCTCGGGAGGTCTAAAGGACGTGAAGCCTGTAGAAGCAAATGGAAGGAACTTGGGCGGTGCTACAAGCAAATGGAAGGGGCCTGGGCTGCTATAAGCAAATGGAAGGGGCCTGGGCGGTGCTATGAGCAAATGGAAGGGGCCTGGGCATAAGCAAATGGAAGGGGCCCGGGGCCTGGGCGGTGCAAAAGCAAATGGAAGGGCTATAAGCAAATGGAAGGGGCCTGGGCGGTGCTATAAGCAAATGGAAGGGGCTTGGGCGGTGCTATAAGCAAATGGAAGGGGTCTGGTCGGTGCTATAAGCAAATGGACGGAACCTGGGCGGCGCTATACGCAAAGAAGGGGCCTGGGCGGTGCTATAAGCAAATGGAAGGGGCCTGGGCGGTGCTATAAGCAAATGGAAGGGGCAGGGGCGGTGCTATAAGCAAATGGAAGGGGCCTGGGCAGTGCTATAAGCAAATGGAAGGGGTGGGCGGCGCTATAAGCAAATGGAAGGGCCTGGGCGGTGCTATAAGCAAATGGAAGGGGCCTGGGCGGTGCTATAAGCAAATGGAAGGGCCTGCGGTGCTACAAGCAAATGGAAGCAAATGGAAGGGGCAGGGGCGGTGCTATAAGCAAATGGAAGGGGC